ACAATTATAAAGGTTGTTGTAATGTACAAAAAAAGAAAGTTCATACAAATAGATCTAAAGCCCCACATTAGTTATTAAAAACCCAAGAGTATATAACTCTCATATAGATTTATATAATATGAAATAAATTCTTAAAATAGTTCAAGTTTTATCTAGACATTCACATGCACCAAACCCTAGCACGCCGTGACAAATTTGAAGCTCTATAAGGCTGATGGTAGTGCTATAAAACTATAGGGTAAACATTTGGCAGTATTAATCTACCTCTCATGTCACCATCCGTTGAAGGAACTTGCTGAAACAACTGCTCATCTGGAGGTATGCACTCCTCAAAGCGATAACCAAAAACTGGCAGTCCTGACATTATCTGAAGATCTGAAAGAGTTATCGTGAGATGCTATACCCCTATAAAACAAGTACCTCTTCATGAGTCCCAAAACTTAATTAAGCCATGGGCCTTATAAGAAGGATGGCGCCCGTAGTAAAACAGCGAGGCACAAACTGCCTCGTAAATTCCCACCACCTACAGTGTACCTATGTGCACCTGAAGAATATAGCCGGCCCAGTAAACATTATCGCTGGCTGAGCTGTAAACCTATCAAATTGCTGACTCCCTCGACCACTCTAAAGGAAAAGACTGTAACTGATGATGCCTCAATTGAAAGTTCGTTAGGGATGTTAGGCCCTATGAACTGACCTAAAGCTAATTAAGAGATAGAGGTGAATTGGTAAAAAAATATATTTCAATCAAAACACAAATCAAATCCAATATCACCACAATAAAAACCAAAGTGCAGAAATTAAATGCAAAAGTAATAAAGAAAGAACACACCAGATTTATAGTGGTTTGGTCAAACCTTGACCTACGTCCACTCCTTGGAGGCACCCTCCAAGTATTGCACTAAACTAAGTGTCTCTCCTTTAGCCCCCACAGCTAGGCGGAGAAGCCCTTACAAAATCACATCCACCTTCCCCGGTGCGGCAGAGTCGCCGGGTCCTTTGACACCAAAGAGATCTTCTTCTTTGGTGAACTTCCCTCGAAATAAGCCCTGAATCCGACGGTATTAAGGTGCAAGCCTGCCGGTGCAACCGCGTGGAATCCCCCTCCACACACCTTTAGTCCCCCCCTCACAGGATCTTCTCCCTCTCTCAGACTTCACCCATTCCTCACTCCCTTTCAAGCTTTCTCTTCAAGTTTCCCCCACAAGAATGAAGCTACAATAGCTGCCAAGGACACTTACCAAGTGTCATGTTATAGCTTAAATAGATTATCTCAAAAAGAGTTCATTAATGCAAGTTGCCGACATTATCATCCAAGACGATAGGCATATCATCCTGTACGATCAGTACAAATTCAGCTCATCAGCCCGAGACGATTTGGAATGATCAGAAGAAAATTGGTTACATCGGCCTGGCCGATATCACGATCGTCCCGGCTGATTAGTTTAAAACTGATTTCAATCATCCTGATCATCGCCCGGAATCAATGATGGCCGATGTAAATCGTCTAGGACATCATCCCGGCCGATCCTACGATCATCCTGGATGATGTGATCGTATCAAAGCCATTAATGCTTTCCAAAGATACCATATCAAATTAGGCATAATTGAGTTAGATCGTCCTGGATGATGTGTATATCGTCCTGGCCGATTTCCTAAAATAAAGAATACCTAATCTGATTATGGTCGTTGATTGTTTCTAAATTGAGTCTATCGTCCTGGCCGATATAAGTATCATCCAGGCCGATTAACATATGATGGCTGCCTTAATGAGGATGCCCTAATTAGGGTTTCTGTTTTTGGACAGATCATCCAGGACGATATAAACATCGTCCCGGATGATGTTACCAAAAATAAAAATCTTTAGGGAACAACATAAAATCTTCCAAGTTACAAATCATCAGGTGCCAAACCAAATACAACAGACTCAAGAAAGGAAAAAGTGTACAAACTGACTTAGGCCTATTCTACCCAATCTTGAGCTGGTTCCAAATTACAGTCTGATCGTGTGGACCTGAAATGTTAGTACAAAAGGCAATCGTAGAGAAATAAGAATGTTTGCTATCATCAAAATCATAAACCATAGATCAGCAACATCAACAGACTTGACTGTCCAACTAGCTCAACTGTGACTATGACAAGCACTAAAATGTTGCAGGTACCTCAGATGATCTAAAAAACTTAACGCTCAAGAGGTTGGTACTCCCTACAGTATAGTCTGAGGTAAGTGACCTAGTAGTCTGGATCCTCAAAAATAACAGAGTCCTCAAAAAGCTCTGGAAGTAAGGGGAGCAGACAAAGAAGTTGTTAAAGGTGTCTCGCCCCCGCAGCATATCCTAGTGCTACTCTAGTCTATCCAGAATATCAATGCTGCTATGGGAATCCCGCCTGTCGATCGCATCCCAGATAAAAAATGCTAAAAAAGGAGGGGGCTACTAAAGATCGTCAATCGACTTCCAATAAATGTGATGTGCTTTGGACATGTACCGTATTTATTGGGAGGCATTTGTTGACCCCTATCACTCAAACTACATGAAAAAAAGATGAGAATGACGAATCAAGTAGCACACGTGTTGGCACGATGCACCACTTAAAAGGTCAAATGACCTCTGAATGCTAAATAGACTGCGACATTATGATCAGAACATCAAATTCTGATAGGTTGAGGCACCTCGCAAAATGCGGATGAAATCTCTGGGTAGTGTCTTATCTAAAAACTCATATGCCTTCCCAAAATTTACCTCGGAACTTAATTCCGTTAAAACTCCCCCGAAGAAGCACAACAGGTGGAGGCCGGGGCCGAATTTTTGGAGCCACAGTCATTAGAAGACTCGACAAATATAGTAATTAGTGCAATGTCCACAACATATATTGGCATCTCATGGAATCATTCACTGTTAGTTGCACCGAGGAACCTCACAGCACTTGCCTCTCATTGAGGGGTACATTTTCATAATTTGAGGGAAGGGCCAGTTTACTTAAATCCTCCTCAACCATCATAACCTCACTTATCCCCACCTTCTCTACCCTCTCTAGAAAAGGATTGATAGGCTCAATTAGACCCATGCTCAATACACACACCATAACCATCACCTCATTCATATTCATCAATGAGCTTGATTTCTTTCACTTGCCCTGCTCTAGTTTATATTTATGGAGGGCAACCATTTTCACCCTCTTAAGACTCACAACGCTTAGCTAAATAATATTAAATTTATCCATTTCCAATGAGTTGAGTATTATAATAGATGTTCAAAAGAAAATTTTGACTACATTGTACTCTCGGATGCTTCCTAAAGGTTGGCATATGCATCAGGTCAAATCAAATTCATAATGAGGATTCTATATGCCACTTGAGACCACGGTAATGATAAGATGGTAACTCATGCTTACTTACCTATTTAATGATTTTTAAAAGTAATAAATGATCATATTTAATTCACTTATATTTTTTATAAATCACCATTCAATGGGTTAAGTTAATCGATGAACTAAATATATAATTATACTTGCTTATATGTGTAATCTATAAGTTCCTAACAAATATCGACCAAGGAACTTAGGGGGGTGACTCAATGAAGGAGAATTAGATCTCATAGCAAGTTAGTTAACCTAGCTCATTTATTCAAAGACACTCCACAAAAAATATCGCCTTGATAGGCTAGGATGAGGAATTTTCATCATCAGTAAACATTTATTAGAGGACTTGTCCATATTATTCTTAGCCCTTGAGGTCATTCACCTTAGTAAAGATCACTCACCCAAAGAAAATATCTATAATCAATTCCATCTGCTTATCACTCACATCCTCAATTCAACTACAAGAAGAACAAAATTTAGAGGTCTTCACCCATAAATTCGTAGGCTTAGTCTCTCCTTTGTCAATGTCCAATTTCAATTAATCAAGCTTACACTTCACATTAGGAGGTCTAAGTTGCACCTCAATGTACTCACATGCATATCTAAAGAACCCAACTTTGAATATTCACCCTAGATATTAAATCCTAAACATTTTTCCTAAGCACTCGGCTTCTAAGACTTGCTACGAAATAGAGAACCATAGCTAGGGATCCATATGACATCCAACACATTAAGCGACGTATCTGTAACATTTTGTAATAGTCATATCATATATTGTATTTTTTTTTAGGTTTAGCCTTCTTTCTAGCCCTCTAAGTCCTCTAAATAAGAGGTAAATAGGCATATTCTAGATCTTTTTTGATCATATACTAATGATTGTGAGACTAATGGCAATTCCAGAGCTCTTTTTCATACTCTCCATACTCACTGAAATCTCAGCTAGTTTTCAAACCCTTAAACTTGTTACTTATCACCCACGATCAAATCTCATCCAACATATTGCACTATTAAATATACTAGCTTTCATGTTAATAGGAAGTATAAACACAATATTATTTAGATGAGACATTAATATACTCAAGTTAAGATCGATGTCCTATTTTTTATAAGTACCGAACAACTCAAATGCATCTCCTCAAGACTTTTTTTGGCTTCAATTAGACTTTTGCCTCTAAGCCTACTTAAGGACTAAATGATTTTTTAATATAAAAGAACAAAATAACATATTATTAAATGTTAATAATATAAAAATGTAATGCATGGAATAACTAGTTAATTAATTAATGGTAAAAATATATAATAAATGGGTCATTTAAATTAATTAAGAGCTAATAAATATTCTAATTAAGTTCCTTTATATTTTATATGTTTAATTATTATATATTTGAAGTTCTTTTTCTAAGATTGTAATCTGCCATATATTTTCTTACTTATTTTTGTACAATTTTGTTTCAAATAATAATTTAATAGGCTAAGCCTAAAGATGAATATGAGGTTAGCAAACATTGAAGATTCTTATACTATATTCATGTTTTAAAAAAGATAAATAATTTTTTAATATAATAATATTTAAAAAACTGATGAATTTTGTTTTTTTATCCAATATTTTTTTTAACATAAGTAAATTAGTTACTCAAATTGCCGCCTCCATCAAAATCTGCATGCCAATCATCCATCTCCTTCCCCTTCTTCAATCATTCCGCTCCACCACCCACCTGAAACAAGCGCACGCCCGTCTCGTCAAGCTCGACCCCTTCCCTTTCGACGGCCGCGCTGCCGCTCATCTTTTCTCTGTCTACTTCCGGTCACCTTACCTCGATCTCTCCTATGCCTATAACATCCTCGCCGCCCTCCACTGCCCAGCCCCCTTTCACTGGAACTCTCTCATCCACTCCATCTCAGCCAGCAAATCCCCCGCTCAAGCCCTCTCCCTCTTCCGCTCCATGCTTCACCGAGGCCTCAAGCCCAACAACCACACATTCCCATGTCTCCTCAAGTCCTGCCCTTCCCTCCTCCATCTCGCAATGATCCATGCCCATGTCGTCCAGGCTGGCCTCGACGCCGACCCCTACATACAAAGCGCTCTCATTCACATGTACTCTGCCAAGGATCTGATCGCGGCCCGCCGGGTGTTCAACGCCTGCTCGAAGGCGCAGACTTTCTGCTGGAACGCCATGATCGATGGGTTCATCAAGAACGGAGAGCTAGACCTCGCACGTGCGGTATTCGACCGCATGGAATCCCGGGACGTAATTTCTTGGAACACAATGATAAATGGCTACGCCATTCTTGGTTATTTGGATCAAGCAAAGCAGCTGTTTGCTGAAATGCCACAAAGAAACGTCGTGTCCTGGAACTGCTTGCTTGCAGGGTATGCTAAATGTGGGGAAGTTGATGGTGCTCGCAGGACCTTTGAAGAAATGCCGAGCCGTGATGTGATCTCATGGAATGCAATGCTCTCTTGCTATTCGCAGAATGGGCATTCAGTGGAAGCCTTAGTCTTGTTCAATCAAATGCAATGTGCCGGTTTAAAACCAACTGAAGCCACCCTTGTGAGCTTGTTATCTGCTTGCTCTCACATTGGGGCGTTGGCTCAAGGCGAGCGCATCCATGCATTCATTAAAAACAATGGGGTTGAGCTCGACACCATCCTCAGCACCGCGCTAGTTGACATGTACGCCAAGTGCGGTAGAATAGCAGAAGCATCCAAAATTTTTCATTCTATCAAACATAAAGATGTTCTTGCTTGGAATTCCATCATTTCAGGCTTAGCAATCCATGGGCTTGTTGAAGAAGCTCTTAGCCTCTTCGACGAGATGGTGAAAAGCTTTGCCAGACCAGATGACATTACATTTGTAGCTGTGCTCAGCGCTTGCAGCCATGCGGGAATGGTGGAAGAAGGCCGTCGGCTACTCACTAGCATGAAGGGATGTTATGGAGTTGATCCAAAGGTTGAGCATTATGGATGCATCATCGATATGTTGGCTCGTGCTGGATTGTTAGAGGAAGCTATGGAGTTAACTCGAGTAATGCCGATGCAACCCAATGCGCAGGCATGGGGAGCATTGCTTGGTGGTTGCAGGATCCACCACAATAGCGATGTAGCTGAGGAAGTGGGAAAGCAGCTTCTAGACCTTCAACCAAAGCACAGTGGCAGGTAATATTGGTCTCAATTCACCTCTGTTAGTTTTGGATTTAGATCCTCTCCCATTATTATCTAAATGCACGAGGTGCAATTAGCATTATCATCTAATGCATTTTACACTGAAAAAATTTGTCAAGATATCCTGAGGCTTCAAATTTTTTTATTTGCATAAAGATTAGTGAAATTTAGGATATCATATACAACACTAATCTAAGTGCAAATATAAGGTTATTTAAGACCATCTGTATGCAAAATGTATCAGGATATCATAAATTATTATTATTATTTTGTATCGTATCATTCTATATTCTATATTCTTGAAAACAAAAACGAAGAATTCTTGCCCTTCTGATTGGATTGGATAGCTAAGATTTGAACTTATTTTTTGTTGAGAATTAGAATATTTATGGAAAAAGAAATTGAAAGTTCTACTTCAACTTCTATGACAATCTTGCACTTATATTTCCCAATCCTAATGAACTAGTTCCTATAAAGTATCATTGATCGATATGACAAAATTTTCTATATATGATACTTGGATGGGAAAAAACTATAGTGCCTTGTCCAATCAAAATGGATACATTTGTCTTGAATTGTTACAATGATTGACCCGTCCCCATTACTAAAGAAGGCAAGGATACAATGTCTAAACTATGTTGGTGATTATCTCCTAAGATACTAATAGGTGGCAATGTCAACAAATGATGATGGGCATCAAGCAATGATGCTGATGAAGGTTGACGATTGACATCTATTGTAGGATACCAATGCTCATTGTTTAACTAAGTAATCAGGCGATATCGATCAGCAAAGTGTTTGGCATTCATGAAGGAGCAAAAGCTGATGATAGTAGTTAGACTAGGCATATATCAGTTAACCAAGAATTCTAACAATGTTAATTGACAAACGCTTAGTATTATGAAGGTTAATAATTAGCATCAAGAGGTGGTTGGATCTAGGGTTGCAAATGAATCAAATGTTCAACAATCTTCAGCAAATGACTAGATTGTTTGGTTAACTGATATCTGTTGAAACTAGTTCGAAATAGTATTTCACTTTTATTTACATTCGAAACAAACGCTTGAAACTAGTTCTATTCCAATTATGTACCTTCGACCAAACTAAACCTAAATGCCATAGCTTAGAATTCTAACAATCTTCAGTTTCTGCGTTTGTTCTGCAGATACATCCTCCTCTCCAATATCTATGCCACAGCAAATAGATGGGAGGAAGCCAAGACGCTGAGAAACATGATGGCTGACCAGAGGGTTGCGAAGAATCCAGGAATGAGTATAATAGAGCTCGAAGGTATCATGAATCAATTCATGGCTGGGGACCGATCTCACCCTCAAACAGAGGACATCTACAAGAAACTCTCTGAGATTTCAGAACGTTTGAGAGCTGAAACAGAATACTTACCGGACACGAAGCAGGTTTTGGTGGACATAGAGGAGGAGGAGAAGGAGCAAATTCTCTCTGTTCACAGCGAGAAATTGGCCATTGCATTTGGTCTGCTTCATACAAGTCCTGGAGACGCCATTAGAGTTGTTAAGAACCTTCGAGTTTGTATAGATTGTCACACTGTGTCAAAGCTCATCTCAAGACTTTATAGTAGAGAGATTGTAATGAGGGATCGGAGCAGATTTCATCTGTTCAGGGAAGGTGCCTGCTCTTGTAGGGACTATTGGTGAACAGATTTATTTTACTTTTAGCTTTTGACTGTAAATTTTTTTTTTAAGAATGGGAAGGAGGAAAATTGTAAAGTTTACGTCAGCCCTCGTAACGCTTGTTTATGTTTTTACTTTAATAATTTAATTTGAATATGATTTTGTTTAATAAATAATCTCAAGCATAAGTCTTTTTTTTTTCCAGCAACACAGCTTAAGTAAGAGGTTCTTATAAAGCTATTTTTGGTTGATTTGGAAGTTCAATTATTTTATATGAATTGAAGCATAAAATAACTATAAAGGTCATGCTAGGTTTAAATAAATTTTTAATTGCTATATCAAAATTTGTATTTGATCCTTTTAGATTTAAAAAGAAAAAAAAAAACTAGCAACTATATAGAAGCTTTTTGTAGAAGGATAAGATAAATGAAAAGGTGAGTTATTGTTTCAGTTGGAAAAAGTAATCGGCCAAATTTTAACACGAGTAAATAAAGCTCAAACAATATATATTAAAATTTAAGCCATTTTTTAAATTATTTTGAGCTAGATTCTTGATGGTAAAAACTCAAGTTTAAGCAAGATTATACTAAATATTGCTCATTAAAACTGATAAAAAAAATTTCACAAAATCTAAAGAAGATTATCAAGTATTTAGATCATTTTCTTTTAAGAAAATATTTAAGGGAACTTCAAGGGTTCACACAAAACTCCCCAAGCATAGTGTACACTTCTCAATGGGATCCACTCCCAAAGTAACTCAACATCACCTTAGCTGCCGAGTTAGCAATGGAATGCATCACTGTTATCTAGCGTATTTTCTTTTAGTCAGGGCATCAATCTTGATTGTTGTTGTATTTTGACGTAAGCAGTCTGATAAACTTGAACTAGGTCAGATTCTTGCCTTATACAACTGTAGCGAAGAAACTGTACCCAACAAAGAATGGGGGAGGGCTTCCTTCCCGAGCAGGATGCACTTTCAAACCGGATTGGAGTGCCCATGGATGTGAAGCCTTTTTCTTTTGGCAGTATGAGTTTAGGTGCATGTACTGTTGTTGTAGGTAACATAGTAACTTACAAGAATCATATCTGAAGTGGAACATTCAAGAAAGGAAACTAAAGACATCATGACACATAATGGATTATAAATTATTGTTTTTGAAAAGAAAGAAAAGGTGATAGTTTTTTTTTCTTTTCATGAGAGTACTTCGCTTCTTTTGTGATGCTTCTCGAGCGTCCTTCTCTTCCTGTTAGAAGCATATGCTTAGGGGCTTCTTTTTCGAGTTCAGTGTATAGGCGACTGAATCTTTCCCTTAAGTGGAAATCTCCCTTTTTTGCTTTGATCTTATGTATTTCTTTCTCTTTATTTTTTTTCAGGTTTATTATTCTTTTCACACATACCAACCGAAAGCTGAACAAAGGCCATGTTCCCATGACCTAGGATCAACTTCATACTTAAAAGCATGGGGTGGGGGATATACGGGGGTTGGGAGGCAAGTAACCCTAAACCCAAGTGGTAGACATATTTAAAAAATGTTCCTTGAAGTTTGATTTCTTAATTGGCCTAATTAAGGGTGGGCACCTCTTCTCAATTCAAAGAAGTGCTCAGTCCTGACTCCGCATCTTACGTTTTCAACGGAAGCTAAATTGCCAAATCTGATTCGTATTGAGTATGATGTCTTCGTTTTCTTCGATGTTCCAATGCATTCCCTATTTCATTTCCTTCTTCATGATCCGCCAACCCTAAAGGTTACAACCCTCAAAGTTCAAGCGGATTCATCTTGCATGCTAGAATGACCCTAGTGCTTATCCCAAAAGGTCGCTAATATGCGAAAAGGATTTATCAGTGTTACTCCTTCCGGCTTAACCAATCTAAAGACTCACCTTCATCGTCTCACCTTCAAACACTCAGCACAAGATAACTCACTCTGAAACTTAAAGTTAATCTTTATTAGATTAAACACACTGAGCATCTATTTGATCATAACACATGTCTAGAGCGGTTCATACTTTACCTCATTTAATATTGTGCTTCTCATCTTTTTTTGTGTGTAGTTTTCCCTATAGCCCTCTAACCCTTATTGAATAAATTATAAAGAGGCACATTTTGGATCATTTTACATATGATTGAAACTTTATTAAGCTAGTGGAGCATTTTCTTTTTAGCATTCTGTCAAAATTCCTAAAAATAGCCTTTTTCATACTCATTATAAGCTCTCAGGTTGAAGTCTTTTGAGTTTTTTTCTAGTTGGGTCAAGCATAATTCTTAGACAAATTTGGATCAAATATATTAATACATGTTATAAGCATAAATTGATGCCAATGACCAGAAGAATAAACACAGCTCGATGAACAACTCAACTTTGAGTTGTTGGTGAATATGAACACTTCAAATTGCACTAGCCATTATGACCTCATAGAGATGGAGGAAAGACTGACAAAAATATTCCAAAACACCTTGATGGTGTTACGAGGCGTTGCCTAGAGAGAAAACATTTAAAGGGCCTTCTAAATCAGCTATTACAAACTTGAAAGGTTAGTACACACAAAAATGGATATACGATAGAACATAAGGGAAATCACACTTTTTTTTTAATTTTTTTATTTAAGAGAAGAAAGGAAAGCAACAACAAAAAAAACAACTCAAACAAAGAAAAAGAACATTGAACTAAATAAAATATGAACAATCTACAAACCAAAATCTACACCTCCCTTTATCATCACAGAAAAGGAGGAACAATGAAATAAATAGAAAGTACAAGCAGAAAAGTAGAAAGCAACTAAAAGAAAGATACCAACACAAACTACAACACATCACATGAATTAGAATTAAGATGGTCCCTAATCAGATGGTGGTGGTGGATGAAATTATTAGTGAAGAGCAATAAAGTGCTTTGTGAACCATTCCCTATCAGCCTCATGATGCTGCAGAAGTTGTTGGCGGCACTATAGGAGTGCGTCATTATGCTGTTATATCAGCATCTAGTGTTTATTGCAACCCTTGATATTTGAAGTAATACTCAAGTTCAAGTTGGAAAAACCCCTTTACCATAGTGGTGTAAAGGTTAGACTGGGCTACAAGGGCTAGTATTAGAGTTGGTGCTGGAGCAGGTGGGGGTATTGGTGAAGGTGCTCCTCCCCCCACCTCATCGAACTTGGGCTCATCTTCGGGCACATCCTCGTGGTGTCAATGAAAGAAGATATGAAAGGAGCCAGTAGAATAAAAGATCATGTATATGTCAGTTAGTGAGAGATATGGAAGTTGATACTTAATATAATACATAGGAAACTATGTGTCATAATGCAAGATTACACTTATGTTGGGTTGATTATAGGAAAAGAGAATTAAGGTTTTGAAAATAATAAATAAGCATGTGAGATTCATTAGTGTTGAACATGATTAAGTTTGTGACAACAAATAGAAGTGGGGTGATGTTGACTCTATCTCCAACCTTAGGATGAATCGAAGATCGGAGAACATGCTAGATGATTCGAGGATTTTGATTTAGAGAGTTAACAAGGGGCAAGTGTTAGTTCAGAGTAGCATTCCTAATTGTTATATTCATAGTGGTCCATTCATTGTCAATTTTAGATGCTAAGTTATGAGGTTTGACCCCTTCACTAGACATATGTAGCTATTGAGTGAGGTATTGTTAGTTTATTTTAATAGGATGCCTACAAACGTAGGAGGTCATGGAGGAAAAGTCAGCTTGCACTCTAAGGTTCGTAAAAATTTCAAAAAAGAGTTCATAGTTGAATAGAAAGGCTAGGGTTAAGAGGAAGTGCAAGGTGGTGGAAGCAAAAAAGTTTCATAATATGATAATTTATGACAGCTTGATTCAGGATGATTGAGGGTGTCATGTGAGCTTCTTTGAATCGATGGTATGCAGATTCATCCTCTATAGTCTGAAACCTATAATCAGTAGGATGACTAAAGGAATTTCCCTGGAGTAGACTGGCTTGCTTACCACTTGCCATGGAAATGTAAAGGATGGATTCTTAAAGGCTTAGGAGAAGAGAAGACTTGAAGGCGTGATTGAAACTTTATAATTTCCTTTATCGTATAGATTTTTCATCTGATCATACAGTACTATGAGGGATCGTACTGGATGATTAGTGAAATTTAATTTATTTGGACGGATATGTCAAAAAAGTAATCAAATCTTACAGTACGATCAGGATTGTACTGGATGATCCATGTAAAAGGAAGTGATCCCTAATAGTCATCTGGTATGACCTTTGACTAAAGGATCATATAGTACGAATAGGTGTTCATACAGTACAATGTGAAATTATTATCGTACTGGCCAATTTAATGTTTTCTAGCATCCATCAACACATGGATCGTATAGTACTAAGAGGTGGTTGTATAGTATGATCATCAATTATTGGTCAAATCAAGGCCATTGATTTCATGAGTGGTCATGACATACAAACATGTGAAAATCATACAATATGAATGAGGTTAGTAAAGTACAATGTGAGCAATTTTTTTATTTAAAAAAAATTGATATGTGAAGATCAGGGAACTTCTACTACATAGTTTTATTGACGTCATGAAATAAAAATGATAACAAAAAGAAAATAAATAAAAAACTCAACAAAAATGGAAAAACATAAAATAAATTGCTACACACATTATTGATTTCACTCTTCTTTGAATCAAGCATGAATATCAATGATATCTAGTCTACTCCTCAATCAGCTAAATGTATCATAGTTTAGGGGTTTGGTGAAAATGTTTGTCAATTAATTTTACTGGCTACATGATACGATTTTATAGCTCCCTTAACAACATGATTTCTAAGAAAGTGATGTCTAATATCTATATGCTTATTGCACGAGTGTTAAATTAGATTTTTAAAAATGAAAATGGCATTAGTGTTATCACACATGATAGGAATAGTGCCTACTAATAGTCCAAGGTCACAGATATACTGCTTTAACTATAAGACTTGAGCAACACAACTTTCTATATCTATATATTCTACCATATTGATGGATAGGGATATAGAGTTTTGCTTCCTACTAGGCCAAGAAACTAATGATT